TAGTCCAAATTCAATAAGAACGTTCGTTTCTTGAAAAATTGACCACGATTTAAATACAGTATTTACTTTTAATATTACCGATATGTCATCGAAAATAAAACGTGTTGTATTATCATTAAAAGACAAATTGAAGTATTTGTTTCGATTATCCGGATTTTTCTTTATCCGGACTACCTTCATCCCCAATTAGTCCGGATAATCGAGGTTCTACTGTACTTCATGAAAAACAGTGCTCATCTGACGATCGATCTGGCCACTGCAAATTTTTACATCCATGAATCAAAAAAATGTCAGATGAACATAAAAATGCACAAATGTTATTAGTCTTACTGTATTTGTTTATAATTATGTGGTGTTCTGCCTGACCTTTTTTGACTTACTTGTGTTGCCTATAGCTTGAGTGATGGCTGGACAGCATCTCTTGTTTTGTGAAAGGGTTACCATCGTGTGGGTTCTGAAGGAGAGTTACTTGCTTGAAAACAACTAATTAACAAAACAACAAAGATTTAATTAACTGTTTAGGGAAGGACTCATATTCTCCCACAGTTGTACATGTTACACAATATGCTTTTTATACAGTGTGACTTTTTTTGAATACTTCACAGAAAGAGAAAGTGTTGCAAATGTTTATTACCAGTTTTTTCAGTCATTTTGGGTTTATAAAGTGCCATTAGTTTGTTGGCATTACTGTTACTTTTCTTGTTCCCAGAAGTTAGTGTTTCAGTGTTTTTTTTATTGGTCTTTCTTCTGTTCTTCCTTCTCAGGGTTTTTTGGATGGCTCCAATAAAGAAGAATACTGCATTATTATGTAAGTGCCCAGTGTCTAAAAATGCTGCAATAAGTATTCCTTTTCTGTTAGAATTTGGCATTCACTCATTTCCCCGTTTTTTTGTTTTTTGTTTTTTTTTTGGAGTTCAATAAGAACTTTTATATCTCCCTTTTGGGTTCAGCACTAAGATGTTTCTCCCTTTGCTTGTGTGCTACTTTTGCCTTTTGTGGGATTGTTAATGTTATCCAATCCAGCTTTGATCTAATGAATCATCTGAGTGAAATAGGCAATTTATTTCTTTTCTTGGGAAGGTACTCTGTTTGTTTGAATTATAAAAATGTTTATTTTTTGATGTGCACTTTTACTGTGGGGTTATAACTGTCTCATTGTAGGTGTTTAAATCATGATTCACATTTATTAATATTGAGTAATTTTGACCAGTTAATATTGTATTCTTAGATTACAGAAAGTTTTTTTTGTTTTATGTATGCATAGTAGTGTGAACCGCTGGGTAGGTTAAAGGTCTCCCTTTCCGGCGACAGGTTGTTAAACCTGCTCACTGTCAAGATGGCTTAAATGTTTCTTCTTCCCTATCCCATGGTAATGGGATTTAATTGTTTGGATCGAATGGAGGAGGGAGGAGTGCCATCGGTAAGGTGACAGGCGATATATGAGCAAAAGACGACACCAATTTAACAAAGAAACAACAATTTATTGGCTATCTACATAGACGGTACAATAACTATTAACGAGGGGAAATTCTGAGTCCCTAAACCGCGAAGGGCTGAGAGAGAGTTCACAAAAATTTGTTACATATTTCTTTATGTTGATACTTTTCT